CGCAGCAGCAGCAGGAGAAGCAGCAGCAGCAGCAGCGGCAGCAGCCCAGAAGGCGCCAGCGGCACTGCAGGCCTCAGGTGGACTGCTGCGAATAGTCGGAAGCAGCAGATCTTTTCTTATTTTCTTTTTTTAATTCTTTTCTTCTTTCCGGATCTTTTCTCCTCGCAGCCAGTGCTGCTGCTGCTGCTGCTGCTGCTGCTGCTGCTGCTGCTGAAGAGGAGCCAGTTTTTAAAATGGCAAGAGGGCCTGTGGGGCCCCGTTTGAGCGTGCGGTGCATAGACAGCATGCATGCATGCATGCATGCATGCATGCATGCATGCATGCATGCTTTGGCTGCTGAGTATGTATTGTGGATGAAATATATTTAATGTAATTATTTAATGTTATAATTTATTTATTTAATCTGTTCTCTCTGTGCTTAGCCCCGAACAAATCGTCTAGATGATATCCTAGTGCTGCGACCTACACATTGACTACCTAGCCTTCACGGGGTGAGCAGCAGCAGCAGCAGCAGCAGCAGCAGCAGCAGCGGCAGCAGCAGCAGCAGCAGCAGCAGCGGCCGCAGCAGCAGCAGCAGCAGCAGCAGCAGCAGCAGCGACGGTTGTGGAGTCGCTTTCCAACAATAAAGTGAGCAGAAGAAGTCCTCGCCATCAGAGGCTTTAAATCTCCTTTTGTTTTCTAGAAGTCGCTTCAAAGGGAAGGCTGCGGCGGAGTGCAAAGCCCCAAGAACGCATGCATGCATGCATGCATGCATGCCTGCTGCATGCATGCATGCATGCATGCGTGCTGCATGCATGCATGCATGCATGCATGCATGCATGGGTTTTGGGTTTTGCTGGTTTTGCTGCTTTCTTTTCGAGCACTAATTAATTCGTGGTGATCTCCAAAGTGATGAATTGAATGGCGTTTCCCCTCATTACTGTCATGTCACCTTGCATGCATGCATGCATGCATGCATGCATGCAAAATGGCATGCATGCGTGCATGCATGCATGCATGCATGCGTGCATGCGTGCATGCATGCATGCGTGGAGGCCGCGAGGCGCATGCATGCGCGCGTGCATGCGTTTTGGGGCTTTGTGATTAGATGTGCATGCAGTGCAAAGAAGTCCATTTTGAAGGGCAGACAAGCGCGTGCAAAGTGCACAGTAGTTGTACAGAAAGTGGATTTATTTATTTGTTTATCTGATTTGTTTGTTTGTTGATTTCGAGCTGCATGCATGCATGCTTCAGGTGTACAGACAGCTCCCGCGACAGGTGTACATACACTGCAAGGCGGAGTGGCATGCAAGTAATGAAAGTGCCATTTGCAAATAAATGAATTAATTGTTGCAAAGAGGTGGAATTAATTGCATGTTTTTGGAGGCCTTTGGCGAGTTTAATTGAAGATAAATTAATAAATAGTGCCGGCAAATAAGTACTTGTGCTTTTCTTAGAAATGCAAATTCTTATCACTATTAAATGGTCTGAAGTCTCTGTTGCATGCAGAAGGAAAGTGGAAAGTAGAAGTTAATCATTAAATGAATTAAATGCAAACCCAGAAAGCTGGGGCGGCCGTTGTACGTACACCTCCCCGGTGTACGTACAGCTGCGCGTGCATGCATGCGCATGCATGCGCATGCATGCGCATGCATGCGCATGCATGCGCATGCAGTTTCGCGACAAGTGGGTTTCTGTAGATGTTTAAATTGTGCAAATGCAAAGTCTGTCATTTATCTGCATTGTGTCCGGATTTGCACCCGTGTTTGTTTCCCTGTAAATGCAGATATGCATGCATGCATGCATGCATGCATGCATGCATGTATGCATGCGTGCATGCAAGTAATGCATGCATGCATGCATGCGTGCATGCATGCAGAGCTTGCAGAAAGGCGCAAAAGTTCGCCTTTCTGGCTCTTCTGTGCGGTAAGAAATAATGTATTTAATGTGTGTAGTGGAAGATCTTTAAATGTGTGTTTTGTGTGCTTAAAAATGCTTTTTGATGCAATTAAAAATGCTTTTTGATGCAATTAAAAATGCATTTTGATGCAATTAAAAATGCTTTTTAGTGCAGTTAGAAGTGCTTTTTAATGCAATTAAAAATGCTTTTTAATGCAGTTAAAAGTGCTTTTCAATGCAATTAAAAGTGCTTTTTAATGCAGTTAAAAGGTGCCTTTTAATGCAGTTTAAAGTGCTGTTTAATGCAATTAAAAATGCAAATAAATCGCAAAATATTTATTTCCATTTCCGCCAACTGCACACGGCGGCTTGCAGGTCCGTGCAAAGTTAGAAAAAAAAGTTTGGAAGTCTCTGTGGGGCCAATGAAGTGCAAAAATAAAATTAAAAAAAAGTATATAAATAGTTATCTCCAAGTCTAAATTATAAATATATATGTACGTATGTGTTAATATATATAATATATTAATATATGTATATTATATGTATATAATATATGTCATATATATATATAGGTATATATTATGTATATATATATATATGTATATTATATATTGAATATAAGTAGAAGGCGCGGATAAAGTAAAAGCACATTAAATAGAAGGCGCATGTGGCCGTGTACATACACTTGAACATTGTGGAAAGTGTTGCAGCTGTGAGGCCATTTGCAGTCATTTATATAAATCTGTTCGCAGTGCGTGCGTAGCTAGCCGGTGGCTAGCTGGCTAGCTAGCTGGCTAGCTGGCTGGGAAGCTGGCTAGCTAGCTAGCTAGCTAGCTGTGTGGTCGCCTAGTAGGTGGCTGGCTAGCTAACTGGCAAGCTGCCGAGCTGGTAGCTAGCCACGCAGCTAGCTAGCTAGCTGTGGTTGGCTTCCAGCTAGCTAGCTGTAGCTAGCTAGCTGTGGCTAGCGGCCAGCAGCGCCTCGCTTTTGGTGCTGCGTCTAGGAGACTCTATTATATGAATTCTTTTCGGTTCTTTAGGGTTCGAAACCACGATTTAGGGTTTAGGGTTTAGTGCTTGCTTTAGTTCTTTGACGCGTGCCACTCTCGCTGCATGCACAAACATAAATGTGAAGAATAAATAAAAAATGGAAGTGGAGGGAAATGTGAATATAAGTGGAAGTGCAAAGTGCAGCCTTTCGGGTGTACGCGGTGAGGTGTACGTACAGCTTGCATGCATGCACCCACGGTGAGGTGTACATACAGCTTGCATGCATGCACCCACGGAAAGAATATATAAATTAAGTTTGCATTATATGTTTGATATTAATTAGCTGTTTTGTATATTATATTTAGTGTAGTTGTTCGCATGCAGCGGAGGTAGTAATTTAAATATTTGGATTGCTTTTGTCCAAGGCAAAGGCCACGTTTGAGGATTTGTTTGCATTTATATTATATATTATATATATATATATATAGCCTTTAGTGGACTTCTTATTTGTGCATGTCTTTGTGCATTTATATTTACTGAAGTTTGCGGAAATGTTCGATTTCGTGTTTGTCTTCCGAGCGCTGCAGCTGCGCTGTACGTACAGCTGGAGCAGTGCGGTGTACATACACTTGCATATATACATGTAATTATATGTGCTTGTAAATGTGCAAAACTTCTCGCGAAAAGTGTGCATAGTTTCTCGAAATAGCATTTGTAATTCTAAATAAATGTGGAAGTGTATTTACTCCCTAATGGACGCGTCGAAAGGGCTTTCTTCGCGGTGCAGCTGGGGTGTACGTACACCCGAGCGCGGGCCGGCAGCGCCGCAGGGAGGGTCCGTTGCCTTTAAAAACACGCCGTAAACGCACAAATATGTTCATTATAACGTTGCAATGGAATGAATTGCAAATAAGTTGCAAAATAAAAGTTAATTTCCATTTAAATGCGCGAAAAGGAGCCCCGGGAAGTGCCGGGTGCATGCGCACGCGGTTCAGCCCGCTCAGGTGTATCTGCAGTGCATGTGCAGCGTTATTTTCCCCGAAACAGAATTCTGCGGAAATTTATGTATTTTATGTTCTTTTTAAAATATATTATACATTTATTTCTTTATTTACAAGTTTATTTCCTCCTTTTATGCCCAAAAGTGCAAAGAATTGCGACTGAGTGTCAGTACAGAGTGCCGCGCGTCGGGTGTATGCGGAGGTGGCGAGAAAGCGGGAAAGAAAAGTGAATAAATTTAAAAACGAAAATTAAATTAAAACAAATAATGAACAATTAAAAGAGTGAATGCGTGGGTTCGACGTGGATGCCAAATAGCAGCAAATAAGTGGAGAAATAAAACCTAATTTAATTATTTAATTTAATTAATTAATAGCAAAAACTTCCTGTCCCCCGAAAGGACAGAGAGAGCCTCCGGCTCTCAAAATAAACTTTTGTTTGTTTGACCCCAAACGGGAAATTTAAAATTTATTTCTTTTAATTGTTTTAGCTTTTTTTACTTTTCTAGTTCCCCTTTTGTCTATTTTAGTTGAACTTTTGCCACTTTTATTCTTCTGAACTTTTAGTTCGGTTTCTGCTTTTCTTTATTGTCCGAAAAAGCAAAAGAAAATACAAATAAAGAAAAACAAAGAAGAAGTCTTTGGGGTGTATGTACACCACAGAAGTGCATTTCAAAGATTTCTTTTTTAAAAAAACTTCAGAGTACACTTTTCTTCACTTTTAGTAATCAGTCAAACATTCTGAACAAATTAAATCATTTAAACCACTTTATTAAATCATTTAAACCACTTTATTAAATGATTTAAACCACTTCATTCCAAAAAAGATTTTAAAAATTCATTTCTTTGCATGCAGACAGTATAGAGAAGAGGCATTGGGGTGTACAGACAGCTGGAAGTGCACTTGGTAAAACTGTACTTCATGTTTATACATAATATAATAAACATATTTATTTATTTATATTTATATTTATAAAGATATTTACAAATATATTAACATATGTATATATACTTAAGTATATATACATTTGTTAAAAGGTACAGTACAGCAGCAGAGTCTGTGGCAGCAGCAGCAGAGGCAGCAGCAGCAGCAGAAGCAGCAGCAGCAGCAGCAGCAGCAGCAGCAGCAGCAGCAGC